CAGCAATATAATATTATTTTATTTATCGGGTAATATAAGTAAATATTCAGGAAAAAAGCAGTTTTCTCAGTAAGCAACACTTTGACAAATGAAAGTGATTGGTGCTAATATTTTAGTGCTTTAGGAATCACAAAATCACAGTTAAGTCACCATAGTTTAGTGAACAAGATGTATGAAAATATACGATTAGACGATGCAGCAATATAATATTATTTTATTTATCGGGTAATATAAGTAAATATTCAGGAAAAAAGCAGTTTTCTCAGCAAGCAACACTTTGATAAATAAAAGTGATTAGTGTTAATAGTGTAGTGCTTTAGGAATCATAAAAGCACACTCAAGTCACCATAGTTTAGTGAACAATATGTATGAAAATATACGATTAGATGATGCAGCAATATAATATTATTTTATTTATCGAGTAATATAAGTAAATATTAAGGAAAAAAGCAGTTTTTTCAGCTAGCAACACTTTGACAAATGAAAGTGATTGGTGCTAATATTTTAGTGCTTTAGGAATCACAAAATCCCACTTAAGTCGCCATAGTTTGGTGCACAAGTGGCATCGTAACAATTATTACTATAAAGCCTTGCTTTAAAACTTTCAAGGAACATGAAACCTGACCCGATGACTCCTACCTTGTTTGGCGCAACATGTAGATTGCCAGAAGTTTCGATTTGGTTGCCATCAGATTCCTCCATTAAAGGATTTTCAGATTGGTTTTGGGCAGCACTAACGCCAAGTTCATAAAGCCAAAGGACATAGTCTTTCTGTGAATAATCTTTATTTCGAGTATCTAAGATATGCGATTTAAGCAGATTGTCTCGATCATTTCTTTCGGAAAACTTTGAGGGTCTATAGTCATCAATACCCAGGCAGGGTTGAGGTATATACAAGTTTTTGTTGTTCGGACAAGGTACTGCTGCTGATGGCAACAGTTCATAGATTGGGTTTGTAAAAGAGGGCGACAGAGAGGGCTCTTGATAGGTGGGCGAAAAACCATCCACTATTTGGGCAGATTTTTCACGGTGGACCGGAGGCTTACGAAGAAATTCATCGTTCCTCGGGAATGTGCGAAGTTGGCCTAAAGATAGCTCAGGTTGAAATAGGTCGACATTCTTGCCTGTTTTGCTCGTGGCAATATTTTCCATTTTGATTGCTCTCAAATTGTCTCGTGATGCAACAAGTCGGTGCCTCGAAGTGACAAGGTATGAATTGCTTTGTTCGTTTTCAAATCCACTCGAGAGATGGAAATTATGATTTCGGGAAGGATGATGAAATTCACTAGCTCCAGAATCATTTGAATTGGATGAAATACCCGCTGTAGATTGAAATGGAGAAATATTAGTGACTCTATTTATGGCCGCTTTTGTCGAGCTCGTAGAAGAAGTTCCCCCATCGCAAGTAATCGCATAACTGTTAATGTCGAAGGGTGTCATAGAAGGGGAAGTAAACTGATCATGTTCAGAAGAGGTGGTCTCGAAATTGTGAAATGCAGAAGGACTGCGTCTTACTGGCGGAAGTGAAGGTAGGCATTTGAGCAAACGATTGGTATCAGAACAAGCTCCATTGCCTAAAGCTCCAGTAGGCCAATTCACCTGCTCCCAAGTGAGTGTAAGCGCAGAGAAGCGGTTGAGAAGACTCGGGGAGAAAGTTCCTCGTCGAAATGCTGGTTGTTCAAATGGAATGCAGGTTGTTGGTTTATTTGGCGCTGAATGCAACGAAGAAGTTGATGGCAGCGTCGTCTCCGCAGGTGACGATGGCAATGGAGATGGTTGTGGTGATGGTTGTGGCGTCAAATTCAAGGGGGATGACAGGATACAGCTTCCAGATGAATCTGGTGGTATAGGCGACAATCTCTGGTCACAGGGCTGATGAAAATGGGAGTCAGCAGCACTTGTTAGGCACGACGTGATGTCTTTCAGCACCTGTTGCAGTGCCATAAGCAGCGGTGATCTGGTTAATGTCTTGGTGCAGAAAGAATAGTTCAATTGTAATTAAAAAAGTAAAACGTAAAAAGAAAATTATTTGAAATATCGTGAAATGGTGTTTTAATTCGCTCGCCATAACCGGTATTATTAGCAATATTAATATACCGAATATTGTAGTATTATCATTTGGGTTGGAGTGATAAGATGTTTAAACGCGGCCTGCAGCGTACTTAGCAAAATTCAAAAGATAGGGGTACAAAATGTTTCTTCCCATTAGGATGGAGATCTGTCCGTTTCTGTATTGAGTAAAACAAGAGGGAATGAAACTCCAACATTAGCACGATAGCTCAAAGCGACCGATGTATATAATGGAAGGCAGTCCCTCTTAAAAATCGCCTTAGAGACATAATGTTAAGTGAAATAATGCAAAGCCCAAGGCTAGTGAGGCTTTCGTATTACACATTCTGTACAACTCCTTCTAAATGCGGTTTTGCTTGATACTATCTGTGTACTGTTTACAAAAGGTCCTCTAAAAAAAAGTGAATACATGACAGCCGTGTTGGAAACTAAGAGGTGAATAATTCTCATTTACATGGCACTTTCAGTTTAAACAGCAGGGAAAAACATATTTTGGAGTTTCCTTAAACTGGCCTCAATGCTGTCATGAGATCCTTCAGAAATGTACAGCTAATTGGATACATAATCGGATGACTTACAGGCCAAATAGCAGGCCTACTCAGTGAGAAGCGCCGTTCTTAGCAAAAAGCCTCAGCCTGCCAAAGTCACAAGTGACGTCGACTCTGAACCAATTTTCTGTTGAAAAGTTCTACCATTTCTGCCCTCCTCGTTTTGTCTAAGTTCCATTGCTTCAGCCTCACCTCCAAATGCGATGACTAAGTCTCCTCTCTACCCTGAATGTCTACCTTTGCTTGTTGTAATGAGCTCCGAACCGAAGTATAGTGCAGCAGTGACAAGTAAAGCTGCCGAAAACCAGAGCCTTAATCAAGCGAGTAAAGCAAAGTGGCCCACCGCTATTTCGAGTTGTGGCTCGATGCTTATGGTACCGACAAGCATGCCGGTTAGACATTTGGTGATGTGTCAGGACAACGGTCCTATGCAAGTAGAACACATAGCAACAGGGGTAGGATTTTGTAAACCTCCTGAAAGAACAATAAAGTTGTGAAAACGAGATAAATGTTTAAATGAGATTAAGCTAAATATTGCAGGTTGAAAGTGCTACCAGTACGAGTACTAAATTTCGATGGTGAGTCAATAAGATAAAAAAACACAAAAGTAAATAATAAAAAAAGAGAAGGAAACTAGTACCTTTTCCGGCACCTTCGCAAGCGCAGCTGATAGATGGCGATGACAGAGAGCCAAACTGTGCGCCAGATCAATGTCTACATGCCCGAGACATCTTCTGTTTGGAATCGTAAAAATAGAATCGGCAGAGTGCAATCGAGCAAGCTGCCGCCTGTGCTCCGAGTGGTATGCATGTACCAGAGATGAGGTGGCAGGCGGAGACGGCAAATAAACCAAAAGACGAGCTTGTTCAAGCCGGGAAGTTAGGGCATCAAGATGAACTCGAAGTAAACTGGAGGCCGCCTTGGCCTCGGAGGTTGTAAGAGCGAAATTTGCAGTCTATACAAGGAAATAATGTTCTGTTAAAACTCGGAGAAGATATGAGAAATATGCGTGTGTAGGTTCTGAGAAAAATATTCTGGCGATGGCACATTTAAAACAGATGTGGAATAAACCAACAGTAAAGGAATAACGAATTTTTATCTGAGGCTGCAAATGAAATGTCAAGAAAATAGCCCTAGACAAATGAAGCGCAGTTATCTATAAAAGGGTTCTATTAATGCAGTAGATTAAAGAAACAATTTTGGTTAAACAGGAACAAATGTGAATACTAATAACGCATAAATGCGATTACCTTGAAGTTCATTTACAGAAAAAAACAGTTCTTTGATTATCTGGATGATCTAAAGAACCATTTATCGAGACCTGTTGCGATTCGGGCGGATGTTGGATTCTTTATAATTATGTTAAAAGGGTGGAAAAATATTTATAAATCTTTATTAGATCGATGGTGACTACGAGTCATAATGGTATTGCGAAATTGTCCTCAATTTGACATTCGGCAAAAGTTCAGTAACAATAAAGGAATATTCAGACTCTATCATCTTTCCGAACTATAGGAATTTGATACAACAACTAGATGATCTGATCTCCATCACACCTCTCGAAACACAAGCCATGGGAAGGACTCTGGCGCTACCAGCTTGGCAGTACCTCGATCAAGAGATTAAAATCGAAGAATGGGCATTCTTTTCCTTCAGGAAAAATGCTTATTAGAAGACAGAGCAATAGGTAAAATAAAATAGAATTAACACTATTAAGTCACGGAAGAGAGAATCGGTTCTGCAATAGGCTTAGCAGGTCTACATTGGCATTAAAAAGGACATCAC